TTTATTTACTTAATTTATCCAATTTAAGGAGTTTTTTAATATATTCATAAAAAATGCATATATAAGAGTTCTGAATCAAAAAAAAAAAAATCAAAAATTCTTCAAACGAATCGAGGGCTGGTCAAAAAAAAATACCACAGTTAAGGGCTAAACAGAATATTCGCGTTGAGCGTTGGCCGGCCTCTCCAACTACACTGTTTGCTTGCTTACTTGTACCCAAAACTGATACCAGTTTTGAATATTTAGAAAGAAACCTTTTTTCTACTAAAATTACTCGGTCATTTATTTTGGTACAGTTAGTTTACACTCTTGTCGAAAGTAAATGAACAATTTCCATTCAAGGGTCTTCCAAATATAACAAATTAACAAATAAATTTAAATATTTAGTAAGTATATAAAAACCCCAGTAAGATAAATTCGTCATAGGCCGAAGTTCGTTATTGTATTTGAGGAGATATATATGTATTTTTTGAAACTACAATAACATCAAATGAGAATTTTTTTTGAAGAACATTTCGTTCTTCTCGATTCCGTGTGTGTCGTTTACGTCCTTAATTTATTGACCTGGATTCCAACTATCATAAGATGTGATTTTGCAATTGTCTACAAAAATATTGTTTATACCAAAATTACAATGACAATTTTACTTCGGCAATTGTCTCACGCCAAAAAAAAATAAAAACAAAATTGAGACCATTATTATGAGTAACTATCGATTTCGCCTGAATTATTTACTAAAAACACCTAGAGCTATTCCAAATATGCAAAAAAAAAAAAAAAACAATTTCGAGGAAGAAAGATTATATTTTCTAAATTTTTGAAACGGATATTCATATTTTACATCCGGTTTAAATAACTTATATGAACATAAAATATTAGTCTGTTTCAGTACTTTTTTAATAGTAAATCTAGTAAATGGGAAACATTTCAAAATTGCTTTCAGAGTACAAAATAATTTGAAAAGTTCGGGAACGCAAATCTAGTAAATATGCCAAAACTAGATGGCAATCCTTCAAAATCATTTTTACTCCACCAAATTTCTCGAGTAAAAAGTTTATAAAGAGAAAGTCATTTTGTTCTGTGCTCTCTTAAATTTGAGTCAATGTTTTACCAGTTTTGTGGGTTGAGGAACGGTTTTCGTGTAAAAAGTTGCAAAACATGTAAAATGAGTAGATTATTTGAGGTTCTGGAACGGAACTTATATTTTTTAAATATGCATTGCACAACAAAAATCAGCCCCTTTGTATTTTGATAATTTATTTTTATCGATTTTCTTTTATTTTCGATATTTATCAATCGAAAAACTCATCTGTAGTCCCCTATTGAAAATAAATTAAACACCGTTGTATTGAATTATCGCCGTCGTTGAAGTACATCAGCATCGTACTCTGGAAGAGAAGCAACGTCGTCACACATTAACATTTCAGTATGGCTTGGTTCTCTGATTGTAGCTGCTGAGAGTGTATGCAGGGTTTTACACTGTTGGTCATTGGTATTGGTCATGAGAGTTTTTTCTCTCTCTCTCTCATTGGTAAATTGGGAATAGAATTGGAAAACATTGCCACAGGTAGGAATAAAAAAAGGTACTTTAAATGATAATAAATTATAATTATCCAAAAATATTGGCCAATATTTATACCAGTTATTTGCATAAAAATATATGTTATAATTTAAGCGTAAATGTATTCACGAATAATAAAAAAATCAACTTTTTGTTTTGGTACGTTTATGTAGATTCGTACCTTTTGTGAACAAAAAATACTCTTGTTACAAAATTAAAAATAGCGCAACTCTAATTACTCTCAATTTTCCAATGAGAGAGAAAAAACTCTCATGACCAATACCAATCACCAGCAGTGTAAAACCCCGCTATGTGTTGTAAACAATACGGTTCATACCACCGCATTCGTAATATTTTGGTTATCTCACTTTGAGCAGGAAGAGCGTTTTTCAATTTTTCTTCAGTCAGAGAAAAAGGCACGAGAAAAACATTCACTCGGCATCTTCGTACAATTCGCAAAACAAATTATTTTTAATGAATTAAAAGTACTTTTACATTTAACCGGATTTCGTTAACCCAGTGGGTTTTAATTGTCAATTCCTTTGCATATATTTCAAATAAATCTCCTGTATATGCCGTTTAAAAACGAGGATTTAACAGAAACCCCATTATATTTTGAATTTGAAATTTTGAAATTTTTGCAGATGGTGAATAAATCTGGTCTGGGGTGAATTCATTTACGAAATCCAATCCCACGCATGAACCACTAAATGCTCCAATTGGCCGTACGGTCTCCGCTACCCATTTGAATTATGTCAGCGAATGTTGCTGAATGCACAGAACGCGAGACAGAGGTACCAGACACTCCCAGCTAATGACTCTGATGATTTATTTCCTTCTAATCAAATGGCTCCAGGCATTTGCATAGCATTTTGACTCCCTTCTACAATAGAGGAAAATTCAATGCAACCAAATGGAATATTTTTAGGTTATTTATGTTATTTATTTGGAATACTAGTTGGGAAGTGGTGTTGATGTATGAAAATGGTTTTGAAAATTCGCACTTATATGTATAACGGCATATACATTAGAACTTTTTACCGGGTTAACCTACTTTATGAGAATTTATTTGACACATATTTAAAAGAATTGACAATTGAAACCCACTGGGTTAACGAAATCCGTTTAAATGTAAACGTACTATATGTAGTACTTTTCATACATATGTGCACGAAAAGTACTAAATGGTAGAGCTGTAGTCTTGAAATTGGGAATTAAAATGAAAATTTTCAACTTTGTGGGCAAGACCACCGAGTTGACTACAACAAAAACCATTGATAGTGCAATCTCACCATTAAACATCGACATTTCTGAACTAAAAGAAAAACTAGCGAACCATGATCCTCAGGATAACAACAGGTTTGGAATTCTCAGTGTTCTAGCTGACGTTAATATTCAATGTTCAATTGCTACTGGTAGACCGATGCAAAATCAATTAAAAATATGATTTTTTATATAAATGTTGTTGAATTTTTAGACAATTTTGGCTTTGGTATAATAAACTAATGATCTGTTCCCGTACTGCCATGGTATAATAATAGAAGGTAACAGCAAGTGTTGTTGTACAAAAAACGATACAACAACCACAAGGAAATTTGTTGTTGTAAGTTCTACTAGTGTCAACCCATTTGACAGAAAAATGTAAACAAACACACAAATTATCATCAAATTATTTTTATTTTGATAATGAAATATTTTCGAATCCTCAAAATAAAAATTGAAAAACATGAATGAAAATCTATCAAATTTATATTTCTATCGCTTCCACATCTTTCCTATAATTGAGCCATTGCCATATATATGTGTAACACATATGAAAATGCTGGGAATAGCGAGATATTCCTTGAAGAAAGATTTGCTTCCTCAAACTTTCCCAGCAGGCAGATTGAGTAAATTGAATACGAGAGCACATTTAATAAAGAACAAATTCAAATTGTATGCTTTCCCAATTTTCCTGTTGGGTGATTTTTAAAAACATAATTTGTCAAATTCATATTGACACTAGTATTACGTTGGAATCAAATCAGCTGGGATTTGCTGTTACCTTTTATAATTGTACCATGCCGTACTGCAAGAACCTACTAGATTTTGCCATGTACAGACGAGCGTTGTTCGCTCTCTCATTCGTTGTTCGACCCTAAATTCTGAAGTAATTACTTAGTTCCCCATACAAAATTGTCTGAGCGAACACCGACTTTTGTACGTTGTTCAATTCGAATCACTCTCTGAATCACCAAGAATTTTGTCCCATCTCTAACAATTGAGAGAATTTATCGAAAATAAATTAATTTTGACAGCATGAAAATTTTTTAAATTTTTCAAACTTTTTCAGTAAAATTGAAAATGATGAATGAAAAGTAACCACAATTCTAGTTTTTATATATGCAGAAGGATGTAAATTTTGTTGTCTACATAATGCAATGTGCATTTCTTTCCCCTTGGTTCTAATTAGCGTACAAAACGAGAAACAAAAGTGGGGAAACCCAAACAAAAATTCTCCCATTTTTTAAATGTGACATTTGAGTTGAGAAAATATAAAAATGTATTGAAAACAACAATATTTTCAGAAAAAATGGAAAACATGAATTAAAAGTTAAGAGATAGGGGTTGATATTATAGTCAGGAGAAAGAGAATTATTTTTTCTATTTAGATCCATATGTGATTCACGCAAATATGTTACAATTTTGGTGTGAAACAAGAAACAGAAAGTTTGAAATAAAAAAACTCTGATGACATGAATTAAGAATAGTGTTGTATGAACGGGTTAATTCATATACGTAATTCTGAGAGCGAACTACGTTGTTCGAATGCCCGTCAGAACATGGCATTTACTATTTTCTTCGATAACATAAAGAAAAATTCGTTATCGTAGTAAAAAGTAGTACATTCTTGCAGTACGGGAACAGACCATAAGTATTTATAAAGAAAGTCGAAAGTCGATCTTGAAAAGTCGACTTTGCAATTTTCTCAAAGATAAAAAGTCGACTTCGACTATTTGACTTTTCAATACAAAAAGTCGATTAATCGATTAGTCGAAAGTCGACATACTTAACCCTAATCGTACTCTGGAAAAGAATAATCAGAAAATATTTTTGTAAAATGAATAATAAAATTATTAAGTGCACAAAATAAAATTTACAATAAAACATATCAAGAAAAGTATTCGCACAGATTTCGGGAGCACAAATCAAGGACAAGAATGAATGAATTATGAACAGAAGTAAAAAGGTGACAGCGACAAGTGACCTTAAGCAGCAGAAGAAAAGAAAATAATTTCAACCAACAAGAAAAAAAACACACAGAACCAGAGACAGGAAGCAGAAGTGACAATACAAAAACATTTTGAGTTTTAGGCAAAAATAAGTGCAGACAAACAGATTTTATTTTTCATTTCAAAATTTGTGAGAATTCCGGAAAGGGTGTTGAGGTATAAGTCGGTGGTGTTGAGATCTCGTATCTTGTTTTGAGTTCTCGAGTGAAATGGGAGGTTGTGTGGGACGTTATAGTGGTGACAATGAAACAGTAAGTGTATCATCGGCCAGTGTATCCAGACCGCCGACAGCAGGTAATGATTATTCGTTAATGTTTTAAAGCAAAATCGAATATTCTTTTAATTCTGGTATTCTTTTAATTTTTTAAGGTACCCAAGTTGGTCCGGCACGCAAGAATCGTCCTTTGTGTCATGAAACAATACGCTGGCGTTCAGATGTTCCTCTGACAGAGGGTCAATTGCGTTCGAAACGTGACGAATTTTGGGATACAGCACCAGCCTTTGATGGCCGCAAAGAGATCTGGGATGCCCTAAGGGCAGCAACGACTGCAGCGGAAGCACTTGATTTCCAGTTGGCTCAGGCCATACTGGATGGGGCCAATATTTCTGTGCCGAATGGGTGAGTTTAAGAGCAATGCAATTGGAATTTCTATGATTAATTTTAACAATGGAAATCTCAGAATGGTTTTGCATAACGGACAATATACAACAATCAATATATTGTGGATAATACAAAGGCTGGCTACTTATTTAGAAATTGTTGGAATTATTTAGTTTTGATTTCTAGTTATGTGTTTCTATCAAATGACATTACACATAACGGCAGGTTTCCCAACACAAGTCAAGTTCAAAGTTTAGTTTTTAAACTTCTATTTACTTTAAAATTTAACCAAGGGGTTTGAGGTAGAGGAAACGGTAAAAAAATAATGCAAAAACTTAATTTGTTTGACAACTGTTTGACCGCCGTAATGCCTCATCATAACTGGTTATATATCCTGCCATTTGGTAGTATGACATTCTTCCTATTTTCGTCATCACGAGAACTTTGTTCAACGCAGAGTTTGGGTATGGGGAGGCATTGGTGTTTGTAACTGTTGCTAATTGCCTGTGAAACTTAATTGCTTGTTCGTGGTTTGTTTGTCTTGCTATGTTATGGTAGTAGACGTAGCCGTTTGTGGTATCAGGGGGGAATTTTAGCCTTTTCCAACAATTATCGCTATCCTGGGAGAATGTACTTTTAGTTGCTATGATTGTGATTAGCTTTGTGAAGAGATTGTGGGTGTTGTGTTATATAGTTATTATTCTATTGTTATTCTGCTATTCTTTGAATAGCAGAATACACTTGTTGTCCGGTCATGCAAAGTTTTATTCTATTTCCTATTTTTTGTTGCTATAAAAGGTTTTGTGGCCATTTTACTTTCATTTCAATATAGCTCAAACAATTGTTTCAGATTGTATTTGTCTATAGAAATTCAAAGAATTCCATTGTCAAATGGTTTTATTGAAGATCTATGTTAAATCAATTTTTTTTGTAAAACAATAATTTTTTGGAAATATTAGTTGTTTTGGTTTGGATTGTTACGTGCAATCCAAATATAATGTTCGTGTGTTCAAAATTAATACATTTTAAATCTGGTCGCTACTAGTTTACCAAATCAAATTAATTTTTTTTACTTATCACGCGGATAAGGTATTGATAAACGTACACAATTTTATTGCTGCACATTGAATTACGTATAAACAATTATCGATAAAAAGAAAATACATTGAATTCAATGAGATTATTCATTGGTTTGTTAATTACATAATTAAACAGTTGAGAAAGGACCAAATAAAAAAAGTCGTAAAGCCCTACCGACAGATATGAAAAATATATTAATTTTCATATTATTAAAACGTTTTAATATGAAAAATATGGTTTTTATGGTCGGTAATATTGAAAAGAGTTACAGAATTAAACCAATTGAAATGCAATAAAAATGTAAAAATAATTTATTGGCAGAATAAAAAATATTAATAATTAAATTAATAAAACTGCTTCAACGCACTTAACCAGAGATCCTTTGCTTTACCACGACAGTGCGTTTTACGATCCGAAAGGACCCAAGTCTTACACGACCAAAGACTGTCAACTCAGTTTCAGACAGTCACAGACAACTGTACCATTTAAAACTTGTCTTCCTGTTACTCTACTTGGGAACACACAAGGTTCGCCATCTTACTCTGTTAGTTGCCGTTGTTTTTTGCATCTTCTTCTACCTCGATTCTGATTATGCTATGGACAGTTTTTCTTATGGTGTGGCCAATCCATCTCCGTTTCTTACGTGTTATCTGCTTTTGCACGGGTTCTACGGCCCTGGGTGTTTGATGTCCTTTAACAAAATCCATTTCCGGCAATATGTTGTCGTTTTAGCTATATACGTCCGTTTGGCTACAACTTGTTTAATCCCAATAAGAACTGTACAAAATTGCTCACACTAGTAATTTTTATTATATTCATATTTTTACAATATTATTCTATTATTTCGTATTATATATGTCGACGTTGTCATCTACTAATTCCCTAATAAAATATTCCAATTTCTATTCTCAATTTTAGATACCTAACAGAATGCTATGATGAATTGGGTACACAATATAAAGTACCCATTTATTGTCTATCATATCCTATAAATATAGTTAAAGAGGAAAATGGTCGTGATTCACCTGCCGAATTTTCAGAACCCGTCGATGGCGGTACAGAGGTATTCCTCAAACTGAGAATATCATCGACAATGTCAGATGTTAAATTACCTGTATACTCCAAAGACACAGTGGGCCAATGTAAAAAGAAATTACAGGTATATAACACCTAAAACCATATACACATTCCATAATTAAAACAACATTTTTTTGTCATTCGCCTAGGCTGTAGAAGGTGTTGATGCTTGCTGTCAACGTTGGTTCTACAGTGGCAAACTATTGGGCGATAAAGTCCCGATCGAAGAATGTAACATACAAAACGGCTATGTAGTACAAGTCATTGTAAATACCGAACACTGTAATCATGACAATAGTACGAGTATCGCCACTGCAAGCTAGCCAACATTCATCGCCATTCAGCAGCACAAAGTGAACAACGCAAAGTTAACAACTTTACTATCGGTGGCAACAAATTGCAATAGCGTGTATCATCATTTGTCACCAGCTAGCTATCATCTTTATCGCCAGCATCATCAGCAGTTGAAGCGTCAACATCCGCGTCATCATCAGCATTATCAAAAATTGGGTTATTGCGTTGTAGTGCCACAGCCTGCTGCACCGGTCACAGCGATAACGACAACGACCTCGTTTTTATTGCGAACAACAAAAATTGATAGTGACATTGCATTTGTTGTTGGACAGAAGACTAATCGGAAATCTCCCACTCTGGATAGTAGTTGTTGTACATTTGTGAAGATATCATTAATAGTTTTATTAATACTATTGTTAATCGTAATGCATTTTGTTGCAATTTGTTGTTAAACTATGAATCAATGAAAGAATGAATGATGAAAACAAGCAAAAGAATGAAACACAAATCAAATGGTACATTTTAGGAAATATTTAATAATTATTTTATGTTCGTCTCTCTCCACCCCTTAACTCCTATTCTCCGCAGTCCTAATCCGTCACTTCCCATGCATCGTTTTAAGTAAGCGGTTTTTTGCTCTGTAGCTGCTATGTGGTTATGTCTGTACATTGCATACAACACCAGCCGGCGAGTACAAAACCAATATATAAAACAAAAAAACAATGGATTATTTTTAAATTGTCTTTTGTATAGCAATTCTTTTTTTATATATTTATAAATTTACTTTTTTTAATTCTAGTTCTATTCTATTTACTTGTTTTATTAGTGCGAGTAAATATACATATAAACAAATATTAATAATAATAATAAAGATTAGTAAATAGAAGAAAAGAGTAACAACCACAACAACACAAATATTAACTAATTTTAAGTGGGGAAAATATATATTATTTGAAATTTAATTTATACTTATAATTTAAAAAATCAAACTAAAGCTAATCATTCTTTTTTATTTAAAAAATTAAAAACAACAAAAATAAGAGAAAACATATTATGTACTTTATTGCGTAACAAAACATGTACACAGCCATATTAAACAACAACAAGAACAAAAATAATCAGAAAACAGCCGAATAAAAATAGGAAAAACGATAAATACAACAACAACAAAGCAATTAATTTATACTACATTTAAAGTAAATAAACAACCTCTGAAATAATTATTTAACAAAAACACACAATAACTTCTTTATTGATATTTTAGTTTGGTAAATGAAAGTGGTACGTATTTCTCAATTAGATTGATTTACGAATGGCATTAAGTGATGTAATACGTCATATACGCGCCCTTAATGGATTTAGTATTAAAAATGCGGCATTATCTTATCCCCACCCTCTTCACAGCCACTGATTGTGTTAGAGGAAGGTTTTAGTTGTTGCTCCAAAGGTGTTGCATTTTGACAGACTTTCTAGAAGCCCTTTTACGGCATCTATTCTACATCTCTTTCATATGTTATTCAAAACATTTCAATTGCAATTTGAGAATTTCATTTGCTATCCGAAAACTCAATTTGCAATTCATAACATTTCACTTGTAATTCGAGTATGTAATTTGTAATTCATATTTGTAATTTTAAACTTTGCATATGAAATTCAAAAAATTCCATTCGAAATTTAAAAAAAATCCATTTGTAATTGGTATATTTCCATTTGAAATTTGTAGAGTTTCATTTGAAATTTAAAGAAATTATTTTAAAATTCAAAGAATTCAAATTGATATTTATAACACTTCACTTGTAATTCGTAACAATTCATTTCAAATTCATACATATTCCTTGTGTGTTACCAATAATATTTTTGAATTTAAAATTGTGTGAGGAGCTTCACAATTAGTACACCATCGACCATGATTTTCAGCGGGAACTTCATTTCAACCGTCCATGTGGTGAGCAGAGCGATTTTCAGTAAAATTATTATGAAGTTATTATCAAATAACTTTATTATTTATTTATTGTACACAACGATTTTATCACACTCGATATTTTGTTTAGAATATGTTTACTGGATATTAGAAATTGGTATAACCTAAAAAAAGGTTAATTTTTGACTCCATAAATTAAAAGAAAAGAGGTGTTTAAAGCCATGTCTACGTTCGGCATACCTGCAAAATTAATACGGTTATGCAGAATAACTTTAAGTGGCACAAGGTCAGCAGTTAAAGTCGGAAAGGACCTCTCGGAGCCCAATGCCGAACGAGGATTCAGACAAGGTGACAGTTTGTCGTGTGATCTTTTTCACATCCTGCTGGAAAATGTCTTACGAGACGTAAAGGTGAACAGAAATGGCGCTCTGTACACCAAACAACACATATTACTCGCCTACGCGGTAACAGCCACCTTTGATCAAATTGAGAAGGAGTCTGCCAGTAAACGGCGAGAAGACCAAGCTGATGGTATCAACGCGCAAGACGTCCAGTAGACTCGGACCAACTGTGGAACTTGAGAACTACAGCTTCAAGGTAGTTAAAGATTTTATATACCTTGGTACCGCCATAAATAAAACGAATGACATCAGTTTTGAAATTCGGAGAAGGATTGTGATGGCCGACAGATGCTACTATGGTCTAAGTAAGCAGTTTAGAAACAAGGTCACCTACCGTCAGACCAAACTCACACTTTACAAGTCGCTGATACTACCCGTGCTGTTATATGGATCTGAAGCATGGGTACTTGGGCAAGCATATGAGGCAGAAAACAACATCTTTGAACGTGGTCTTTCAAGTTGGAGGAGATGCGCACAAGATCGACGAGCTTGGAAATCTTTTTTAAGCTCAGCTTATGGAACAACCGTTTTGTAACAAGCCAGCTAACTAAGTAAAGGAAATTAAAAGAATCCTTGTGACATCACATAATACATACACACATTTTAATATAGGACAGAGTGTATTAGTTATAATTGTGTTTAAAAATGTTTGCATTTTATCTAGTATTTTTTGATGTGTATTGTTTCTATTTTCGGTATCCAATATATATAGTTTACAATTTGACTTTAGTCATAAATACTGCACTAACAAGTAAATTAGTGCATGGCTACTAAAATTACTAGTGCGTATTATTATTTATTTGTAGAGAATACAACATATGTCGCTATTTATATAAAATTGTAGTACACACACATATATATGAAGATTATTATTAATAAAATATTATCTATATAGACACATTTCCGTCCCTTTGGTCCATCTTTTGTAGCAGTGTTAAAAATGAAAATGCTGTTGAAATGACCTTGAAAAATAAACAAAATAATTGAATATTACACTCAACTGATTTTTATCATTTAACTTACCCAACGATACCAATCAATATTTAATGGAAATACTGTACCGGCTGTTAGTTTAAATGGCCTGTAGGACCTTTGCAGAAAAAAAAGCATATCACTTTTAATTTCACTCAAATACAGATACCAAGGACTCCTTAAAATTGCTTCACCATATTGCTGACTGTTGATGAAAATGATTTGGGCGAAATAACAAATCACCAAAAATTCCCAGGCAACCAAAAACAGATATTGACCCAAAGATAGATTTTTCATAAACGATGAATTAGCTGTGGTGGACTAAAACGGAGAGAACAAATAACAACAAGCCAATGGCATATTTATACTTTCAATAGCGATCTTACCTTTACAGAGACGAATGCAACCAAACACATTAGTAGTATAACTTGACCTGTTTTCAAAAACCAAATGGGGTTGAAAAATGTTTCCATATTCTTTAAGCATTCCAAAATGTAACAATGATGTTTGATGCATTTCTTAAATGTAGCACGGAAATGGTAATGAAATTTCGTAGTAGATATTTGGTTAGAGATTAGGTCGAGCTTGTCGATAGCAAATACTTTCTCTGTCGAACAGTAAAATTCATTCAATTCGGGTTGTTGGTCATCTTGGTGTTTCCGAAGTTTTCTGTAAAAAATATTGAACAACATTGTGTCTTGTACTCGTAAAGCGAAGACGCCTAAAAGTATGCTCGAAATCATAGATGTAGATGTGGCTACAGATCATAAATTATACAGATTGTATAAATTATCGCCTAGAGTATTTATTTCAAATGAAATGTTTATTTATATCATTAGCAGAGGGTTTAGTGAAACTCTCGCTTTATTATTTTAAGACTTGTTATGTTATAAACATGCGAAAATGGTGTTTAATGTTTGATACGATCTCAATCTTCTCGATCTTCGAACAAAAAAAAAAAAAAAAAAAAAAAATTTGCCTCATTAGAATATCGCATTGGCCCCATGTTACCATTTGATCAAATTTGTTTCAAATTTAGATGTTTCCGTCCGACTATCTATTTGATCACATGATACCTTATAAATGATGCGCTAATATTTGACTACTTCATTGGCACCTCGTCCACAAAATAGACGCAATATTGCAAATTTTCGAAATATTGTTTTCAAATCCTGATAAAGTTAGAATTTTGTGTGTAGTGGTTCACTCATTATTGAAACCACTTTGGGTACATACAAGATTTGCTAATATGTATAATATCCTGTAGATAGAACAGACATAGCAACTTTGGAGGGCCATTGAAATGGAATCAGGCGAAGTTCGATGTTTGATCTACATAGATATTTGAAAAAAAAAATTGCATCTCAATTAGGCAGACTTGGATTCCTTGGTGTACCATTTCTATGAAATCGAGCAAAATTATGTATGGGAGCTATATGTAAATTTGGACCTATTTGACCAACGGTGGCATACACCGTTTTATCTCGCTAGCAGAAACCTTTATTATTTAATGCACAATTGCATGAACTCAGACGAATATATATAGGGGTTATATGTAAATCTGAATATATTTTACCAAATCAATACGCTATTGTGGCTCCAATTTGGTCCGTTGTTATGAAATTCGTCCCAATCGGATTTAAAAATCGGATGTAAATATATATGGAAACTATATATAAACCTGAACCAATTTCAATTCAATACTCTCTGCAATATTTCATGTAAAGCGAACAAACATAGACTCCTTGGTGCACCATTTGCATGAAATCGGACCAAACTATTTGTCTCGTTGTGCAAAATTTTGTCTCAATCGAAAAAATATTGGTAGTTGGGTGCACCATTTATATGAAATCGGGCGAAATATATATGGGAACTATATCTAAATATGAACCGATTTTCTCCAATTTCAATAGGATTCGTTCTTGTGTCAAATAAGTGCCTTGTGTCAAATTTCATTAAAATCGGATCATAAATGCGACCTGTACTTTGTTCATAATAACACATGGAAAGACGGATGGATAGACATGCATAAATCAACTCTGAAAGTGATTCTATGTATGTTCTCAAAAGGAACCAAGTGGTTATCGCGTTTCATTTTGCCATATTGGGTATATTTTATCGCGTTTCATTTTGCCATATTGGGTATATTTTGTCCTGCTTCAAGAGTCTTCTTTAATGGTACAAACATGAAATCGACTCGAATAATTCTCCCCTTTCGAAATTCATTAGCGGCTTACAACATTTTCTGTGTTCGTATGACCAATCTGAATACGCTTATTTGCATAACATGCAGTGTTTGGATATAAAGTCGACTGGGCTCTTAAAGACGACGATGGTGTGGATATTTGTTAGAAGTAATACCACAATGCTGTCTGTAAACCTCTGGTCATTTCAGAGGAAGGAATACAGCCACCCATCGTCGACATTACTTCCATCTCACAGGAACACACTTCAATATTTAAAAATGCAATTTCAGGCGAATGGAATGTTCGATTTGAACCAACCCTTCTCTCTATCAAGACTAAATCAAGTCCGAAGATAGGACCCATTGGTCCACTCCTTCATAAAATAATCCAAATTGTGCAAAAAATTGATTTTATAATATCATGCGAACGGACAATCCGATTTGAACCAAACTTTGTACAGTCTTTTATCTCTACCAAGCGTAGATGACGTTGCAAGACGGAACCATTGGTCCGTCTGGTATCTCCCCCACAAAGAGTCAAATTTTCAATATTTATAAATCCCATATTAGTCGAAGGTAATGTTCGATTTGAATTCTTTACAAAGCCTAGATCAAGTTCTTCCCCAGAAAGGTTCAGTATTTTATAAACTTGTAAATGTTATTAAATTGAAACAAATTGAATAATCGATTTAATCTACATTAAATCGGATATCTCTTTATTAAAAACATACCTTATATAAAGCGAATAATAAAACCTCCGGGCAATTCTGCAAACCATAGACTGAGGGTATATGTTTGTCGGCAAAACCGACTGCCATTTTTTTTTACTTTTTTGTTTTAATCAGATTTACCGAAAATCCAAAGTTTGTACAACTGCGACAGAATTTGATTGAGTCATGTATTAAGTTTTCATTAGATCGGTTCAGATTTAGATGTGGTGCAGGGTGATGAGTCACTAATACATATCTTTGTTTATTGAATTCAAATGTAACATTTTTAAGATAATGCTGGTTACTTACATTAACTGCTCTACGGTCAAATGCATTCGCATTGCAACAGTTGCAAACACATTTTTTAAACTGCAAAACAAGATATCATATTGCCCGGAAATTAATATGGACAGTACCATGTGGAGTCCACTGGATGAGGAAAAGGCAGCAGCTACTTGTATTTGCGCCACAGCTTGTAGAATATATATTGTCTCATAAATTATCGGTTTCTGTAATGGAGAAGCAATAATAAAAATATGTACATTGCAGATTAATTATCTTGAAATATATCCTTATATATATATACCTTATAATCCATGGGGTACCAACAGGTCAAGGGGAGACTGCGATCGCCATAGGTGATTGGTACAATGAGCCAGAAAACGGCTCCACTAAAACAACTGTACACATATGTTTTTATCCATTTATTTGACATAGCCACACACTTATCCATAGTTACATATGTGAATCCTGTTAATTATTTAAAAAAGGCGGAAGAATAAAATAAAGTTCTGGTTTTTAATGTGTATGTTGGAGATGTGACTAGTTGGCACTTCACTCACCTCTCATAAACAAATATGGTATATATAAAAAAGTATTACACATATGATATGGTCTGTTCCAGAACTACCAGAATCTACAAATTTTTACTACATTTTTCATTATCACACAGGATAAAGTTTTTATCGAATTAACTTTTTTAAACTCTTGCAGGTTCTGGCACAACATATAAAATTATAATATTAGTTTTCAAACGTACCCCTAGCCGAACGTGTTTCATAGCGAGAATTCAAGGATTCAATTACTTCCTCCAGTTTGCCTGAACGTAAACGACGAAAATACACCTTCATACCAAATGTCCACAAATAAATGATGATTTGCATCAAACAATTGACCAGTAGTTCCAAATCTCCACTGTGATAATTCAAATAAAATGTACACCCGTAGAGAATGGCAATGTGAATGCACACCAGGTAGAGGATCAGTTCGTAAATCAATTCAATAAATTGCCCAAATTTCTGAAAGCGTTGTGGCGCCCAACTTTCCAAATGTAGTGGATACATGGCTGCCCAATACATTGTACGGCGTATGAATTCGAAGAGGTCATGTCGCTCATCAGTGGACAGGAAAGTGTTGTTCTTGGTATGCATCCTTATGGCAAATAAATTCAATGTTGACCTTATATAAAATATCGTTGTAACATATGGACGCTGTTTACATTAAATATGTTTGTTTAATGTGATAACCGCAATTGCATTTTAAAAAATTCAGATATTGTGTGGTTTTACCTTGTCCTGTTTATTGGCCTTATGCGAGCTTATTAAATGATATATAAAAACAATTACAAACGTGTTGACGTAGCGATCTCCGTACCAGTGTTAGAGACTCGAGACACTGGAAAATAAAACAACAATTTTCAGGCGTCATTAGAATTGTTAACATGACAATTGGTGCAGAACCGCTGAGTGATACCAATTGTTTTAGGGTTTAAAGCACGAACACCACCCTTCCAAACGAAGGATGCTACTGCATACACATTAATCAACTCAGAAACGGAAGCATAGCAAGACGCCTTGTTACATGGTCAACACTCCGAATAGAGCAGCAACGATATTCCCACATCTTTCCAAAAAAAGGCATTGAAATCCCAATCCCATGTCAGTCAGTGGTCCACTATCTACAAGGGATCTGCTCGATTGCAGAAATATTTGTTAAGCCCGCTTAATTTGGACAAGTGAAGCATGTACTTTGAGAGCAAAAACCTGGAGAACGTTGGGAAATAAAGTTGACTGTGCTCAAATTGAATGATGGGAAAGCTCAAACAATCGCAAAAGGTCCCAAATATACATTGGGTGAGTTCAAACAATGGGGATCAATTGTGATGACGCAACAAGCGCGAATACCGACAAAATGCCAGGCGTTGTGGTTCGACTGTAGTAAATGTTCGGAAATAAAGGTTACCCTGAACCCAAGTTTATCAGTTGTCAGCACCATGTTGTTGTTGTAGCAGCTAGTACTGCTGTGTATTTCCAATTTTCTTAATCTGGTTCTGCCTCTAACTTCAAATTCAGAAAGGTTGCGACCTGTACGGGTTGAGTCCACAGAGAAGATGGGGTTAGGAGAGTGGGCTTGGCTGGACAGTTGAACAGATGTAGCGTGTCATGTGGTCCGTTACCACATGCCGGGCAGACATTGTCGACCTCTCCATCAATCCGTGCCCAATACGAATTGAGGCGGCTACACCATCCAGATCTCAGTTGTGCCAAGACCACTCTAGTTTGTCGAGGTAGCTGCTGCTCTTCTGCGGCTATCACAGGCGGATGGATTGGCAGGATTGAAGATTTTTCCACTGCGTTGCACTGACGTTAGCGGACCACACTGGCGCCGCATAGTTTACCACAGACCGGCCTATTGCTTTATATGTCGTTAACAAGGTTTCCTTGTCAGCTCCCCAAGTGCTGCCGGCTAGCGACTTGAGAACCTTGTTTCTGCTCCTGACAAATAGCTGTGGCATGCGTGGACGACTTGTATAGGCTATCGAATGTGGCCCCTAGAACCTTTGGGTAATTAGTGGTCGGAATTGTGGACCCTCGACCTGCACATTCAAAGATAGCCTCATCTCCGCTGTCCATGTGGTAAACATTGTGGCCGTTGACTTAGTGGCGGATATTTTCATATTCCTCGACTGGAAAAAATCAGCGATATCCACGAGATAGTGATTCAGCCTCTCGCAAATGTCATCAATTTTAGGTCCTGACGCCATAATCGTGCAATCATCCGCATAAGTCACGATATTTATGCCGTCCGGTGGGCGTGGAATTCCAGAGAGGTAGAGGTTAAACAGTTCCGGAGATATCACCCCTCCTTGGGGAACTCCCTGTTTAACTCTACGGGCCTTCGATTTCCTGTCTCTGAATTCCACGTACGACTGGCGTCCACACATATAGTTTACGATCCAACGTTTCAAACTTGGCCGGAGGGTTGTTCTCTCGATGTCCTCGAACAACTTGGCGTGACTGACGGTATGCCTTTGATAGGTCTAGCGCCACCATGACTGTCCTGTTACACGGCCTGTTCTGGTTGATTCCTTCTGCTATGTGTGCGGAAATGGCGTGCAAAGCTGTGTCAGCACCATGTGGTGGATCGCGTTGTCATGTATGATATGCTTTATGAGTCGACTGTACCGTCACCTCTAATTGGTTCTGGGGGTCTTCATCGATACTATTTGATACCAGAAGCCTTGCAAAATTCAAAATGCATCTAAACGAATTGAGATAGATCGCCAATATAGAGTCGTATTTTGTCTGCTGACCGGTCAAGTTCGAAGAAGGGCTTTGGGCATAACTTCCCCAATTTTCAGTATTTTGTGGTTCTACAGCGCGTTTTTCAACCGAATGCGCTGAAATTTGGTACAATGGGTTCTGATGGCGTACTAAGTTTTTCAACTAAAAATTATAAATATAGGTCCACTTTTTCTGGTAGTTCCCATATAACGGTACCCCAATTTTCAGTTTTTGGGGGGGTTTTACCACATGTTTCGCCCGTATAGGCTTTTTAGGCTTTTTGTAGTCATATATGGTAACAAATCTCCCTTCCAAAAATGATTAATATTCGTCCCTTTTAGGGATAATGAAATATATTGGTCAGCATTTAGGCATCTCCCCTATATAATGATACAAAACTAAAATATTGGGTTCGAGATTTATATATATCGGTCACTAATTAGGCATAACCATGAGGGCAATGATAGCCATAAATATTCGCTTATTTCTACACTATGTATAACTTTGAACTCTAAATTGCAGTAGTTGAAGGATATTATATCCTACCATGCGTTATCAGTATCAGTCCATCTTTTGGGGTTTTCAGATTTTAGGAAAAATCACCATTAAAAATTGCTGAAATTTGTATTTGGTGTACAGAATGGTTTATGCTTGAATCTTGAATGCTTTATATGCTTGAATATAGTGCTGCCGCGAAGTCAATCAACTTCATGCCGTTGTCGGATGTTTCTTCGTGGAGGCTGATTTTTCCGACGGTTTGGCCAAAAATACTTTCCCTTCTAATTTTTTGCATTAGAATCTCCTAGAAGAATTTTAATGTCATGGCCAGGGCATCGGTCATATGCTGTTTTAAGGCGCTCGTAAAATATGTGTTTGGCCTGTTTGTCTTTGTCTTTCCTCGGAGCATGAGCGGCCATATGCTTTCTAGTGCTGCCGCGAAGTCAATCAACTTCATGCCGTTGTCGGATGTTTCTTCGTGGAGGCTGATTTTTCCGACGGTGTGGCCAAAAATATTTTCCCTTCTGATTTTTTGCATTAGAATCTCCTAGAAGAATTTTAATGTCATGGCCAGAACAGCGGCCATATGCTTTTTTAAGGCGCTCGTAAAATATTGTTTGGCCTGTTCGTCGTTGTCGTCCGTCGGAGCATGATCACAAATAAGACTGATGTGGAAGAACATGCCTTTTTACGGATTTTAGCAATTCGCTCATCTACTGTTGTCAATATTGGATCATATTTCAGTCCCATAAAACGGTTCCTCCTCCTACATATCGATACCCCCGAAATTATCGATAGTTTGAGGATTTCAGACACGTATTTAAACAGCATAGGCTGTGATTTTGGATATTAGTGGGTGGCAAGTATTGTCCACATATACTGGGGATTTCAATTTTCCGTATTTTGAGGATTTGTATGTCTGTAAGTTCGGCTCAGCTATTTCTGATACCTTCTTCACACAATTGTAAAAAATAAAACCTCAATATCATGCCATAGAAGATGAGGCCTATTGGCCAATCTCAAAAAGGGGCTCAACAAATCGGAATATTTATATCAATATCAAGTCTGAAGAAGTGGTCTGTTGGTCTATTAAAGTGTCAAAGGAAGGATTGACAGGGCCCATATTCGGATTTGTTATAGATTTGGTAAACATATGACGATGTTCAAAGTTTTTGTTAATATTCAGTCTCATATAAAGGTACACATAGGAAATTTGTTACTTGTAACAACATCAAATAAAACAAAGAATTCTCATTTATTTTCTCCATGAGTATATTTAGCAATGTTCAGAAGTTTTTTATTATTCTGTTCAGCTTCTTTCACACACGTTCGTCCATCTTTTGTAGTAGTGTCAAAAATGAAAATGCCGTAGTTATAACCTTGGGAAGATAAGCACAACAACACCAAACAAAACAAAAAAAGAAGATGATAATGTATTATTTCAGTCTGGTCTGGCCTGGTGGGTTAATGAAATTCATTGATTACTCACCCCACGAAAACGATCCACATCTAATGGATACATTTTACCGGCTGTCAGCCTAAATGGCCGATACGAATTGAGCAGAAACAGGAGAAAATCATTTTTCATTTCACGCATCTGAAGATACCAGGGGCTTCTTAAAATAGCATCGCCGCAACGTTGGCTGTTGATGAAAATGATTTCGCCAAAATAGCAAATAATCAATAATTCCCAGGCCACCAGCAGTAGATATTGGCCGAGCGATACGACTTTCATAAATGAGGAATTAGCTGTGGTTGACTGCCAGGCGAATGGGTGGGGTGGGCGTTGAAGAATAAAGTCATACCATTATCATTTGGCTTTATTGTATGCATGTATGTGCGTATGTATGCTTGTGTGCGAGTTTTTTTTTTGCATTTTGCTTACCTTGACAGAAACGAATGCTACCAAACACATTAGCACAATGACTTCGCCCGTTTTGAAAAACCATATGGGACTATAGAATTGCTCCATGGATTTCAGGCAATCCAGGATGTACCAATGATGATGTATGCATGCTTTAAAGGCATTCCGAAAATGATAACGAAATTCTACAGAGGGACTTGTAGCAGGATTTGATATTTGTGTGCTTGTACGAACTAGCATATTAATATCGCAGGTTTTCTCTTCCGAACAATAAAATTCATTTATTTCCGGATCTCCAAATTCCTGCAGTTCATAGAGTTTGCTGTAAAAATTAATTGTTATAAAAGAAGAGGTTAAGAAAGTCCGTGTCGATCTTTTAGAATATCTAAAATCGACCGGATTGTCTGCCATGAACTTTTTATCCTGTAATAAACGAAATATAAGTCATTTGTTTTGAAAGTGGTTTAAGTCATTTTTTTCTTAAATTGAGATATTAAAAGGTTTGGGTTTGATTTGTTTCAAAAATTTTGTTAAGATTTGTATCAGAACCTAAAATGGACTTAAGACGCATTCAAAATAAACAACTCATATATCGGGGCTTTGTCGAAACATGGGTATATTTTGAAAATTTATTGCGAATAGGTTTTGTACTGTAATATTAATATTAATCCACTTCGTTGGAAAATGCAAAGACCTAAAATGGAGCACGACCATTTTACGAGGTAATGTGATATATCTGACCTGTATTTAAAATTTGGTGCGTATTTTTTTTACCCTCAATTATTTGGTCAAATTACAGCTACTTTGTTTGGACTAGGGCCACACAAATATCCTCTTGGTCTATGATAAAACATAGACTTTTACTAAAAAACTGTAAATATGTTTTTCATCATCCGATAATCCTGAATATAAAATTTCAGCTACTTTGGTGTAGAGTGATCTTCTTTATGAAAACCCGAGACTTTACCAATTACGTACAAACTTCCATACCTACCTCAATTCCTTTTTAGATGAACCCATTCGTATAGCAACAGTTGCCAGGATATTCTTCAAACTACAAAATAGGCTATCATACTGTCCTGATATTAAAATGGCCAATACCATGTGCAGGCCACTTGAGGCGGAGAAGGCAGCGGCAACTTGGATTTGACCAACCGATTGAAGAAAATATATGGTCTCGTAAATAATTGGTTCCTACAATAAAAACAACAGCAGCACCGCAAATGGAAGAACATTAATGCCAATAGGATTAGGGAAGATTAAAATTCTTTGCAAGGACATTAGACCACTGGTCATAGTTGTCACATATCTATGTACATACCTTATAGTCCAGTGGATACCAACAGGCCAATGGTAAACTACGATCACCATAGGCTATGGGCAGCAGCAGCCAAAAGACCGTTCCAATGAAGCAACAGTACACATAAGTTTTAATCCATCTATTTGACATGTCCAAACACTGGTCCATGGTCACGTACGTAAATCCTGCAAATAAAAGTGACAAGAAGAAAAAGCCCGATTGAAAATACAATTCAGCAACAACAGACCACACGCATTGTATTTTTGTTTCCTGCTCACCTATGGCCGAACGTGTCCTGTACTCGGAATTGATGGTGTGCACCAATGCCTCCAAGTGATGCGGTCGAACACGACGAAAATACACCTTCATGACAATTGTCCAGACGTAGATGATTGTCTGTATCATACAGTTGACCAGCAGCTCCAAATCCCCACTGTCGTAATTCAAATAAATCGTACACACATACAAGATGGCAATGTGTACGGACACCAGGTAGAGGAACAGTTCGTAAAGCCATTCGATGAATAGGCCCAGGCCACAAATGTACTGGGGCAACCGGCGGTCCAGGTGGAGGGGATACATTGCGGCCCAATACATAGTGCGGCGTATAAATTGAAGAAGATCACGTCGTGCCTCAATTGGTTCCATTCTATTAGATGTGTCTCCGGTGCGATGTGACATGTATACGGCCTTGTCATCAAATGTCACGTCGCAATGTGTTGTATGTGGGTCGTCTGATGGCTGGAGATCAGAATGGCAATTGGTGTTGAAAACTTCTTGTGTTTTATAAAAGGCGTCAAAAGTGTGTAGGTGTGTGTTTGTAAAAAGTTCTAATGAAAGTTTTGAATTTGAAGAACACAAATGTTGGTATATTTGATTTATCGTCCTGTTTTTAACACTTTAACAATATTTCCGTAATCACACTGGAATTAATCGTTATCTTAAAAATCAAATATTTAGTAGGGATACAAATTGTCGATTTTTGCGAAAAACCAAATTTTTAAAAAATCCAAGCTTCTAAATAAACTCAGAAAATATTTTTATAAGATCTGCGCCTATAAATATGCTCAGAAAATATTTTTCAAAGACCTGCGAAAATTATTTTCCACGCCTAGGGATAGACCCTAAAAAATATTTAATTTTTTTAACCATTGAGCGGATCTGTATAGTCGGACGGGGCAGACCATACGATACTCTACACAACTACCACGGAGTTCTAACTTTCTGCGGATGTTTATTCCGATTCTGGGCCATATTTCGTGATATGTGTACCTTCTTGCCCGATTAGAGGTCAACAGCACCTCATACTTGTCCAGATTCCCTTCACTATGGGTGGTATGGTGATATTGGGCTTATAATTGTGGCCTACAAATCGACTCCAGAAAATACTAAAAAAAATAAGTTTTCGGTCTACTTCAACCCAAAATTATTATCGGATCATCACCGAAAATTATAGGCGTTGTTCTTGACTATAACTGGAACCTCATGGAAAATTTCAAAGCGTTCAGCCCTTTATTTCCGCTTTCTAGTGTGGTAATGGGTTACTGAATACTGGGTTATCTGAATACGTAAGCCCCTGCAAATATTTAAGTGTAACTTCCACATCCGAGTACATAGGACAATATAATTGGTATCAGTTTAAAGGTCAACCACTCTTGGATATACTATCAACTTCACAGGTCTATGTCCTTCATGGCAAAAAGTCAGGGTCCATTTGACCTGCTAAATATTTACCGATCTTTATCAAAACAGGTATGCTTATTCTTTGCCCAATCCCCTTCTCCATGTAAAAATTTGTGATGTTTGGGCCATAATTGCGGCCTCTGGAGCGACCAGAAAATCAGAAAAAAATAAAGTTTTTGCTTCATTTCATCCCCTAAATATTAACCGATCTTTACCAAAAACAATAGGGGCCTTCACTGGGCCGAATCCATTCTACGTGTATCCTGACACACATGTCTAGATCGATTCAGCTAGTCGAGATATGACGATCGGTATACTTAAAGGTGGGCCTAGGACCAATATTTCTCGGCTTTACAAAACTCTTGGGGCTGCACAAAGCTTTAATACCCTGACAACATAGTTGTGTATATGGCGAGCGGGTTAACAAAATACCTTATAACTATCCCCACTTCTATAAATTGTAAATTCAGACTTTTCATTATTCGATCAATTAACAATTTACGACATAAAGTGTTCACCGTAGTCGACAATGCCAACCTCTCGAATTCTTCATTTATCCCACGTTTATTTATTTTGACACAGTTCCGCCTCCTAATTGATTCTTAATTTCTATTTAAGTGAATTTTCAAATTTAAAGTTTATTTAATTTTTATCGTTAATAATTGATTTAAATAAATTGTTTGATGGACATTCATGAACATAAAAAAGCTATACATTAGGGTGGAACATATATGTTCTATGACACTGGCTGGGGTAGTTATTAATTCCAGGCATTCTGGTTTGGTACTTCAGATTCTCTAATGAAATAAAAAAGAATTCATTACCTCTAAAAAATAAGTCACAATTCACATTAACACATTTTTATTTGCCGTCTAAAGAAGGAATAAAACGACATAAAACATATTTGAAAATAACTAAATCGTCGTTAAGTTCGGCCGCGTGGCACTTTTTATAACATCCTGAAATAGATCAGGACTTTATGCTATGCCATGATAAATTGCAACCAAACTACAGACACTCATTTTGGAAAATTATTGATATGTTGTCTATGTCATTGTTACACTCAAAATATAGTAATTTCAGTTGAAAAATACCGATAATATGGCGGTACTTTTATATGGGGGCCGAGAGTCTAGCCTACATAACCACCCTAATAAACATATGGTCATTGCATCCAAACCAGACACATTCTCACCTATAAATTTTCACTCAATTAGTTTTTCATTCGAAATTGGTTTCACGTAGAGAACAAAAAACACACATACCTACATCAAAAATATTATTGAAATTGATGAATGAATGCAATCAGCGATAGGAAAATTCCATCTGAAAGGGTTAATGGGAGTTTAAATTGCCGAGTGCATGAACATATGAACTTTTTTGTTCATTTATTTTGTGTTTATTATACGTTATTGAATATATAAAAAACAACAACTTTGAGGGCGGAGTTGAATATTGTTGTTGAAAGTCATTTAAACAAAAAACTTCAATGTGTTAAACAAAAGCGTCAAAAGGACGCTGGCTAGTGGCAAAGTGAGGGCGGAGGAGGGTATCAAAAATTCGGCACTATGAAAAAATGTGTCAATTTTTTATTTTTTTAATGGATTCAAAACACAGACTATATTATTATCTATATATTTTTATATTTAATTGTTTAAATATACAACACGCAAGTACATGCATATATACAATGTAAATAAATAATAATATGGTACCATTTATATTTGTGGAGAATAGACATAAATACAGGTTTAATTGAATGACGTACTAATTTGCGTTGGGCTATTACGTTGGGTATTGAAGCTACTGAAAACAATACGATCGGTTATTAATCTGTGCTAAATAACTTCTATGCAAATTTCTATTTTTTGTCTGATAACAATTTATTGATGATAAATATCAATTTCGTCAGGTATAATTGTTAAAATTAAGAGTATATCTTTACAAATATTTCACATTAGAAATCCTACGGGAAAGCCGAACTGAAATACGATTTAAAATACCTTAGCCTGGTGGATGTATAGCGGATTTTCCAAAAAATAAATAAAAAAACAATTATTTATAATTATTATTGTAATAATCCATAAGGACTATGCACTATGGACCAGGAGTCCATTTTAGGTAGAACTGATAAAACGTTATATATTTCAAATCTGAAGACATTGAAGAAATCTCAAATCTGAAGAATTTTATATCATTGTGGGTCACGGTTTACAAATGACAAGAGGCCAAAGTCTAAAAGTTATAAATACGACTTTTTACAAAAATTTTTAGTTACACATCCTAGTGCCAAGCAGTGTCAGAGGATATTTTAATGGTTATGGCACCAATCGACCCCTTTATATGTTCTCTGTGCAGAATTTTGCGACCATCTGCGACCGTTCATAAACTTAAGAGTTATTGTCGATAATATAAAAATGGTCTTTGAAAATATCATTTAAAAATTTGTAAAAAAATAAATAAATAATAATAATAATAATCGCCCATGTGCTGCATTTCGAGTTTGCTCGAATGTGAAACATTTTCCCAAATTTGGTGGGCTCCATTCCGAATTCCCAAAAAAAATATTGGGAATATAATTCGAGCACATATAGCCTTGTGGATTGAAAACGAAATGAGATCGTACGTGTTTTTCTGAGGGCGCCAAAAAAATGTTTCTAAAGCGTAACCACTGTCTCCTAGAAGCCAACTATTTTGCTTACCATTTCCTCTTTTTTTAATGCTGGCTAGCTGCACTCATATGCCAAATAAAAGCATCATGGCTGGATCCTGGTCTGCAGCTGTCCACAGCTTGCACACACTTTGTCTTCCAGGACTTTCATTACTCTCCACAATATTTTACACATTGTTGTGCGATCAACACTTATATTTAAATCATTTGCCACTACTCTCTGAAACCCACCAACAGCCAGAAATCTTAAGGTACCTGGTAACTGGAGGCTTTCGGGAATGGCACCCTTGTGTATGAAAGGGCCCACTTCTCTCAAAATATCCATAAATGCTTATTTTAACACGTTCCAGTAATTAGACTTTTTCTGGTAGAAACCAGGGCAATTAATAAGCCAGCACGCATATTTTTTCTTAATTTTGTTGGTGTACAAATTGAAAATTCCAATGAAACATATGATCTTTTATTGAACACATTTCGTAACATATTGAACACAGCTATGCTTTCGAACCGCACTTTCGCTCGAAATTGAGCACAACATGGGCATTTAAAAAAGTATGGGAATTCAAAAACTCCCCGAACATGTCACATGGGCGAATATTTACTTTTACCAACATAGCATGCTGATGATGATATTGGCCTCACGTTCAACCAAATGGGATGTAATTTGGTATTATGGGTTCGTATTACGTAGGGCATATTCTTACCGAAAACGATAATTTTTGGTCCATTATTTGGGGTAGCTTGGGTATTTCTAAACAAATTGGCTATAATTATGGTATGCTATAGTTCTTATGTTTTTTTAAACCATAATACATAAAAAATACGATTTCATGCTATTTTGGTTTCAAATACTTCAAATAAAATATTTATTTTTTCTTATATTTAATGCGCCATTTTGGATTCATTTTAATTAATTATCAAAAACTGATTTAACACTTGTAATCAGTATCCACAGCTCTACAAAACGTGTTCAAAAATAATTTAATTAATTAAACTTAAAAAAAAATTGACATCCGTTTTCGGTTCATCCTATTATATTTTTAATTTCTTCTTTCAGAATCGTAATCAGCGTCATCGAAAACTTTATATCTGCTCTAATTATGGCCAAAAGATGGGATCAATGGCCCATGTTGCTGTGTCAAAAACGAGAAATCCAAATTGTCTACCTTACTACTGAATGAGTTTATAACGACGGTCACAGGATCAGCGTGTTCTAACTTCCAAAAACCAGAATGTCAAATTACAGCTACATCGAAAATGCGGAGAATACTTTAAAAATATTAAAAGCTGTCAGCTCCGTTATTCACTTACTGGAATTATATTCATAACTGGGTGACCTGTATATGGGAGATATGTCAAGTCATGGACTCATATTGAATTTTTGTCCAAATATGTTTTCCCCATGCCGCAATAATAAGATGATGTGTCAACACAAAAACATTTGTTTTAGTCTTGACTATCTGTCAAAATTTTCCATATAATATTTCACATGGTTGGCAACATTGCACATCGAATTCAAGTATAAATTACCCACTTTGACAGTTAATCAAGTCATCAGCTGCGCTAAATGGACTACCTATTTATTTGGCCATGGTTTTTCCCCATCCCAGAAGGAGCAATAGCAAGATATGCACAAAATTCCAAAGACCCATCCTAAATATTGCGGGTTATATTGTAATGTCAAATTTCATCAGTTTGTTTAAATTACGATATAACTCGATATGGGTTAATCAACATATAGTTTTATTCTAGTAAAGAACGTTGGCTTAATGTGAAAAGACAATATGCCCACTTTTTCTGGAAATTGAGACTTTGGTACAGACATGTTCATTAAGCAAAACTACATCGATTTATTAAAAAATATCTACAATTATGTCATCTGTTGTTGTTGTTTTGTAGTGATGAGTAAAGGCGCTAAGCCCAATTTCTCACATGTCGCTGTCTGTTTTATATATAAAATATGGACTTATTGCCTTTACATGTTAAGCCCGCGATATATTCTTTATGGTGTTTCCGGTAAATATTACGAGGTGTTGGCTGCTAAAAAATTAGCGAACTTGGCCTTTATTCCATTTTGTTCGATTTATCTAAAGTGCGACAGTCTATACATAAATTTGAAATAAATAGAAACCACGTTCTTTAGTCTATTGTTATGAGGGGGAATCTTCCGCAGTGAGTATTCGATAAATAAACAGGTTTCCTGTTGGACTTTATTTAATGCAAATCGACGAAAGTTTTTATAATTCAAGTTATACAAAGTTCAAGTTCATACAAAACCGCAAAATCTTCCGATATTGTTAGAAATGTCTTTATAGATTGAATGTGTAATAAAATTATTTCCTGTTTTTTGTTATATATAGGAATTTGTGACGAATGCGATATGATGTTATGTTTTCAATCACTTTCTGTCAACATATTTTCATCGTAGCAGAAAACGGGTGGAAACTCACGCCATCGTGCCATTTAACCAAATGTTAATTATTTTGACATTTCAAACGTGGATCAATGTAGATCGCCATACTCTTGGCACTATAAATAGGTTGTCCATTTAGCGCAGCTGATGACTAGAAGTGCATTGTTTCTATTTGAATTCGATGTGCAATGTTGCCAACCATGTGAAATGTTATAAGGAAAAATTTGACAGGGCATGGGTATGGTCATGATGCAATAATAAGGTGATGTATCAAAACAAAAACCTTTGTTTTTGTCTCGACCATTTCGACGCCTCCGAACCATATTATGCTAAGTCGACTTAGCATGTTTTAATGTTCTTTACGTTTTTAGATACTACGGTCCTTAATTTATATTCCAACCAAAGTTATAAGCAAAAATGTACTTAGCATGGCCCGTAAGATATATGAAACTTCCATACGTTGAGAGCTTCTACTGAAAAACTCACTTTTCAGACTTAGCATACTATGGTTCGGAGGCGTCGATTTGTCAAATTTTATAATATTTCACATGGTTGGTAACAGCACATCGAATTCACGTAAAAATTACACACTTTGACAGTTAATCGAGTCATCAGCTGCGCTAAATGGACTACCTATTTATTGTGCCATGGTCATATCTATGCTGCAATAATAAGGTGATGTATCAAAGCAAAAACATTTGTTTTTGTCTCGATCATCTGTCAAGTTTTTCCATATAATATTTCAAATGGTTGGCAACACTGCACATCGAATTCAAGTAGAAATTACCCACTTTGACAGTTAATCGAGTCATCAGCTGCGCTAAATGGACTACATATTCATTGTGCCATGGTCATACCCATAAGGCACAATAAGTGGAACCCTATTTCAATTAGGATTCGCACTTTACAATAATGCACCAGTTGAAAATAGACTAACGCGTAAGGGAGACTGGGGCAGCTTCGGCAATGACGTTTTCGATATGAAGCTCTCATTGTACATCACTAGCTTTGATACATAGGTATAGAATATCAAAATAAATAATTCTCGCAAAGTTTGAAAGCACTAGCTACTAAACGTATTTAGATGCACGGATTTTTGTATTTTTATAAATGTTTTTGGAATATTTCAATTTCGAAGTATATTGTTTACTTAACTTTTAAAATTTTAAGGCAGTTTTATTAAAATGTCGTTAATTACAGTATATATTCTTATTAAAATAATTAACAATATAATATTTTTAGAAGATTGATAAAAAAAAAATGAAAAAAAAAACTATAAAAAGTACCTTTGGGGTAGATTTAGCATTTTTAAGTGGGGTACATTCGGCCATATATAGAAAGTGCTATATCATTTCCTTTACAGTTTTTTGTTAGTCTTTAAAAATTAATTTGAAATTACACATAAAAGATCAAACGTGCTGGCCTTAAGACGTCAACGTCCGCCGCTAGAAAAGGCCAAACATTGAGTCCGCAATGAACCAATACCCGCATTGGAACCTTTTGAGGATCTGGATTCCCACCAGACTGATAGCAATGATAATTACCAGGCGATGCCAAATGTGGCCAATCAAATGCCGAAACTACCCCGGGTAGGGGCACTATCGGCGAATATTTAACTAATACTAATTTATTATATGTTTTTGTGCTAGTTTTTATAATTTAGTATTAGAGGACAATAACCAGCCACAAAGTTTTTATATCTATTGAATAAGTACTGAGATATAGAGCTCAAAACAAAAAGTGCCAAAGCTGGCCGAGTCTCCCCTTTTATTTTTGTTAAAATCGTTTCAGATTTATATATATCTCCTATATAGTTTAAATTCATGCAAATTATTCACCCAATACCCGCATTTGGTTCGATGGAGACGGCGAGAATGTTGCCTAGCACACTATGGGCCAGGAATGCCTTTTTTACAAAAAATAAATTTCTGGGAGAGAGGAAAAACGTTATATATTTCAAATCTGTGGCTTTACAGATTTCTGTTCATAAACCCACTTTGGCAGACTCCTCAATTTGTTCGATGTCGATGTCATTGGCGTAGGCGTGTAATATGTGTTGTTTGGTGTACAGATTGCCATATCTGTTCACCTTTGCCTCTCCAGCAGGATGTTAAAAAGATCACACGACAAACTGTCACCTTGTCTAAATCCTCGTTCGGTATTAAAGGGCTCCGAGAGGTCCTTTCCGACTTTAACTGCTGATCTTGTGCCAGTTAAAGTTATCCTGCATACCCGAATTAATTTTACAGGAATGCCAAACGCAGAGATGGCTTTAAACACCTCTGAGCGGATTGGACAGTCGAATGCGGCTTTGCAGTCGACGAATAGGCAGAATGTGTCGATGTGTTTTTCGTGGGTTTTTTTCAGGATTTGGCGCAGAGTGAAAATCCCGTCAATGGGGGATTTGCCAGGTCTGAAGCTGCATTGGTATGGTCCAATAATGTCATTGACCATTAACTTCAGTCGTTTACACAACACGCTGGATAGCACTTTATAAGCGATGGGAAGGAGACTTTTTCCTCTATATTTGGCACATATCGTCTTGTCTCCTTTTTGGTGCACGGTACACAGGATGCTGGGGTTCCAATCATTGGGCATGCATTCCTCTAGCCAAATTGTACTAATCAGCTGGTGCATGCTCCTAACCAGCATCTGACCACCAGTCTTGAATAGATCGGCGTGTAACCCATTCGCACCTGCTACTTTATTATTCTTCACCCGATTGATTGCTATTCTGACCTCATCTTGGCTAGGTGGTATACACTCTACCGTCATCTATTATTGGTTCTGGTATGGCATGATGATTTTTGCTGGTTACGCTAAAATTCATAAATAAACATCTTTATGTTTTTGTTTGCGGCTATTGCAGATTGTGTTTCAAATCTTCTGAGGAACATTTTGTACTTTTAACAATGTCGGGCAGTTTTTAACTTTTTTCTTTAACCTACACCCAAATACTCCACAAATATCGCTCTTAATATTTGAGGTAAAATTAATATTCCTATGTTTTTATAGTACATTTACATTTAATATGGAACGTATTTATTATTTGTGGTACCGCGTTCCTTATATTTATAGAAACTTCTTTGAATCAAAATTGGTTGTTTTTCAGGGAATGTATTCAATAATTTTCATCTTTGTATTTGTGTTTCAGTACTTCTGAGAAAACCTCTAATTCCATTTTTCACAAAAATAGAACCACATTCATTAAAAAAATCACCATTATTTTTTATAATTTCCATTGATATTTATTTGGTATATTTTTCTTTATTGTTAAAATTATAAAAAAAAGAATAAGAAGTACGAATGATTGTTTGATGGATTTAATGAATTGAAATAATTCTAAAAAATGAGTACTGAGCGGCAAAGCAAAAGCATAAACGTCTTCATCCTATGAATACGACAATGTTTAATTAATACAAACAAAAAAACCTAAAACACACAATTAAGCTATAATACGTCAGTTTACGTTAGCACCTCGTACAACAGGGTCCGCAAAGGATTTTCACGATAACAATCAAAGGATAACAAACAAATGGGACGACGTGTCGTACGAAATGAGTGGGTAAACTACAGCTGTTGTATTGTGGGGAGGTGATTCAAACGCCAACCACCCGGTTGGGTGGTGAGCATTTAAACATGGTCCCACAATAGAATAGCTGATTGTTTTTTCTTTTTGGGTTGATGTGGAGTTATGAGGTTCTTGGTTTAATCGATGTTCAATTGTCTGAAGGTGCCCTCCATGCCGAAGAGATCATCACTGGTCTTGGGTGAGCCGGGACGTAGAGATTCGTTGGCTTTCTTGGTTTCCTGTTCCTTGAACCAGGGAGTGTATTCGGCCAACTTGGCCTTCCATTGGCTGATCAAATCGTTAATTTTACCAGCTTTGCCACCATATTCTTCGGGCAAGAGATCCTTTGGCACACTCTTGTAAAGGCTTTCCAAATCGGGATGGAAGTGGACACGGCTGATGAGCTTCTCCTTGACGAAGGGCTTGACAAACTTGAAGATGGTATCTACCAGGGGTGAGGTATTGAAGACATGGACTTCCTTGACCTTGACGGGATAGGCTTCTTGGACACAAATCAAGAATTTCTTAATGACGGTAGGCGAGAATTTGGCAAAATGAGAGGCGGTGGCGACGGCAGCATCCAAAACGAAGATATCACCGGCAATGCCGACATTCTCTTCGGCCAGACGGATATCGCCCAACATAAGAGTGACCTTCATGGCATCGTTGACTTGGCTGGCTTGGAAATCACAATCAACACCGCGAATGAAAGTGATGCGGCGACCATTGGGTGTCAGACCGGGCAATGTGATGATTTGTCTAAAATAGGGGGAAATGTACAATTAAATTGCGGTTCTAGGGGCTTGGGTGTTTGCCCAACTTACGCATAATCCAAGACCATGTTCAATTCTTCACGGGCAATATCACGTTCACTAAAGAATTCTGGGATGGCATTACGCATGGTATAGTACATGTCCAACTTCTTCTTGACCTTTTCCAAACTGAATTTGCAGCCACGCAAGAAAGTGGTTAGACGCACATCATCCATATCCTTGGGCAAATGGGGTTGGGTGTCGAGCCATTCACGGAGCAATTTAATGTCGCGTTCAATTTCTTCTTTGTTTTCGGGTTCACGCAATTCTTCGCGAATGCTGACGCGTTGTTCGGGAGTGGGTTGGACGAGCATCATCTAGAGGTGATAAGAAAGTAGAAAAATGGGGATTTAGTAAAAATTTAAGTACTGCGACACAAAGGGAATTGAATGTGAGATTTCAGAGCTAAATGAGAGACGTTGGACCTTTTGAATGAATGAACGAAATAAGTACATTTCGTTGAGTGCGTTCTTATTTCGCATTGTGAGAAAAACATGTGAGCATTGGAGATGTGTGGTTGGTGAAATAAACCGCAGCTTATTATTATTATTATTACGAGAACATTGTCGTATTTGAGACTTTTTGAGGTACATTTCCCCTTTATGACCAGCAATTACCCGGTTATTCCAAAAACGTCATACCAAATTAATCTGCATCGATATCAGGTTTTACAAAGTGATTGATTTCAATATTAAAATCTCCCAAACAATTACAAAATTGAACTAATTCATGACATTATTTGGTCGCACTGCGCACACACATCATTGAAACAAATTGCCTTTTGGGAAAAAATTATAATTGTGTGAAATTAGCATTTAATGGCATTAAATCAATTACGTATTTGCCTACCAAACGTCAGTGTTTGGCCTGGTCTAAACGATATTGAATTTGTTTACAACAAAATTGGCAATTAGTTATGAATAGATGCCATTAAATTTGACATAACATTGTAATCAAATTACTGGTGGGCAAATTTCATGTCACCTTTTTAAACGGAAAAATCTATTTATATTAATAGATTACAGTGAAACACAAATGAAAGGGGTTTTAATTAAAAACTAATTATGAAAATTTATTTTGATTTATTTTTATTGAAGTAAAATATGGCTCTCTTTACGATAATTTTTAGCCAGGCCTTACTGTATGGGTTTGTCATATGTTTTGTTTCATTTCACTATGATTTTCTATTCTAAATTTTCTTTAATTTTTTTAAATTATTGATATGGTATTTCTATTAAGGTTTGACTGTAAATATACTCTCCATTTCAATTAAACATTTCTACAAACTCTGCTAATTGAATTTAAGCGAGACATTTTAATCCGAAATCCACCAACCAACAAGTTCAAATGCCACTGAACTGTTTGAAACCAATCGAATCGAAAGAACCTCCCGCAGCAGCAACAACAAAAACATTAATCATTTTAAACCGATATAGCCAAAATGAAATTAAAAGTGTAGCCTTAGGCAAAACAAACAAACAAACAAAGACCAACATACATACATAGTTACTATTTTCTTAATTTATGTACTTTGTCAAGATATTTAACCTAATAACCTGATTATAAAAATCTCAGCGTTCATCTTTGTTGCTGGTCTTGTTCAAAATTAAGCTTATTGGTTTTCTTGTGTTGTTGTGTTTTTTTGCATGGGTAATTTTGTTGTTGTACCAAATTTCCATTGAGAAACCCGAACATGCCCAGAGAAGAGTGCGGAATTTAATATTATTAAAATAAAAGCTAGATGTCATGCCAGTTTTTTTAATCTTCTGCTTGCCTGCCTGCCTGCTGTGAAAGAAAACAGTATAAATTTATAATATTTTCTGTGTGTGTGTTTTTTTAATTTTTTCTTTTTCTGTTGTTACTTCCTTCGTTATATTAAGGTTGGCAAAAAAAAAATTGTCATATTTTTGTTGTCTTAACCTTGGTCGAAAAAATGATTTAACTAATTTTAGTTTTTTTTCTGTTGGCAATGGGCCACAAAAATAACCTCTATCTCTTTTCGTACCCTGAGTGCAGGTCTTTTTTATTTTTTCGTTGGGTCAGGACGGAAATAAAAAGCAAATAAGAAGAGGAAGAAAAGAAGTACCCAACGCTAATTCAATCTAAAATGACTATGTCTCGTGAATATAAAATCAGTCTTGGGAAGTGTCGAAGAAATAAACATGTTTGTTCTTGTTAAGTGTTGGTGGGTGGCTTAACTGATGCAATTAGTTAAGATCTTAAGCTGAGTTAAGTTATAAAATTATTTCAACGTTAGCAGAGTTAATTTTATAATTTGGTATGGAGATATTAGAAAAAATTTAGGTTGTTTATAAAAGCAAGTGAACACGTCGTTATGTTCCGACCGGACCAAATTTCTTATACTCTCCACAATGAGATTGGTACTCAATATACCTACATTTGATCGGAACTTCTATAAGATAAATTTCTGCCAGAAGAGAAATAACTATAGCCACTCAGGAAAATAGGAACAAATGGCGCCCAATGAAAAAAATCAATTAAAGCCATTTTGTTTGAAAATGTACCCCAACTATCAAATATTATGGTATATGCTCTCTGAAACTTGGGCCAATTTGTAGGGAGATATTCTAATAAGAATCCAAAATCCATGGAGGACAATAACGATATTTATATCGCCCCAAAAAGTATGCAATATATTTTGATTATGAATGAGAAAACGTTCTTCAGATATTTTTTAAGATAGCGAAGAGTTACTGTGGGTTTTTTATATAAATATGAAATATTTATATAAATTTATTTATATAAATATTTATTTATTTATATAAATATTTTTTCAAAAATTATGAGTATTTTTGATCTCTGATTTATATTTTTTCTCAAAATTGTAAGGTAACAAAACTTTTAGATTACTTTCAAAATTTAAACATTCAAAGGTGTTTAATTTTGCAATATATAACTTCTTTCATTACAAAAAAATAAAGACTAATTTCACTTTTTTTAGTAAAACTCTTACATTTTTATTGGTCATTAAGTCAGCTGAGTTGCAACATTTCATAAAAAAGTACGCGGTAAAGCAACAAAAAAACAATTTAAAAATATTTAACAAAGTTTTTTTTTTGCTTAGCTCTGGCCTAACATCATAAACTGATGCCTATCCATTAGCTGGGAATATTGCAATTTCATAAAACCCGCCAAAAAAGTTAAACCAAAATGTTAAGTGTAATTCACCTGAAAGAAAAGATAACAACTAACTAAACAATCAAGCAAAGCAAAACCAACAAAACAGGCAACAACAACATCCAACATGACATTAAAGGTAAATATTTTCATGTGAAATTACCAAATTTTGTTTCCACCAATACAAGGTTATGTGTCTGCCTGTACCAAAAAAAGAAACCTCAAAAATGTGAATAATAATAAAGCTGTAGACATGTATCTGTGGCTTTATGTTGTTCTTCGAACCAACACAATTTTGGGTTTTCGTTTTCGGTTTTTCGTTTTTTTGCAACAATCATTTAAGTAAATATTTATAACAAAAGCCATAACAGATTTCAATTATTATCATCTTTTTAATCTAACGGTGCTGTGATTTTGATTTGGGAGGAGGGCTTTTGAGACCTTTACAACAAGTCATTGGGTATTTTTTTGACTGGGAGGTAATTTACATTTGACAAGCACTTTGAACTTGACTGACTCGCTAGCTGGAGGGGCTTGATATTCACCATTGGCATTCTTGTTTCTGTGTTTGTTTGACGCTTACTTCAGCCAAGTCTAGACTGTCTTGAACTCATTGGCCTTTTTTTGTGTGTCAGTCGGCACATTTTGTGAAATTTTGTAGCAATTGTTTGGCCTCACAGTTTTTGTTGACAGCTCCCTGATGTGCCTAGACCGGCATGATGGATTTGACACATATATACCCACACAGTGCACAGCTTGATTAGCATATTATGTTATATTAGATCATACGGAGAGGTTGAGTGAAGAGGGGAAGGGATATTTTTTGATTCGTTTTATGGGTTTTTAATAGCGATTTCTTTAAAAAAAAAATTAAATATTGCGTGGGCAAATTTTTAAGGATTAATATAATATTTACGGATTTTTAAATTATAGAAAAATTGGACTTCTGTTAACCACATACATATTGATTTCTTGTCTTTGAGGACCCTTTCTAAAATGTTGTAAGTAAGAAAATAAGAAAGAGAGGTCAAACTGCTCTACAAAAATATTCCCCTTTCGATTTGACTAAAAATACAGAAAATAAATTTTCCATCCTCAAATTATTGTTTCACAATGTAAATAATTAAATCAATTATATATGTATGGTCGGAATATCCTAAATTTTTTTTATTTATATTTATACCGAAGAAATGAAATTAGAAAGTTGTGTATGTTTTCTGTAAATGATTGCATGATTCCTATGGACCTTTTTAATTGTCAAAATTATTGTAAAATAAAAGAAATCACATTTAAATATAATTTGTAATATACACAATCAACTAAACATTATTGTCATCACACTTAACATACAATACCACAAAATAATTAAAACTTGAAATAATAATAAAAACACGCACACATATTTTAGCAATTATTTCAAACTAACAAGCTAACCTTTTTATTGTGGTTGTTATAATAATCATCTTTTGCTGAAGACAAAAAAAATTAAACAAACCAACAACGACAAGGCATTAGCAATTGTGTCATTTGAAATTGGGTTGTTGTAATAATTTGTAAAGAAAAAAACGAGAAACATGGAAATAAAATGAAAAGCAAAAGTCATGGTTTGCAAAAAAAAAAAAGACAAAATAAACGTACTTAACGTTTAAGCCAAAAACACCGAAAACATATGGGACCAAACAGGCAGCATAATAACTAAACCGGTTGGATGTTAGTTGGGTAGGTCGGTTGGCTGGTTGCTTGGTTGGTTGGTTCACTAGCTGGTTGTTTGTTTAGTGCATGTTGCAATCAGTGCTGCAACACAACAACAACAACTATGTTGCTACAAAAAACTATGGCCAAGTTGTTGTAAAGTTAGTGGTTACCACTAAATGAGCACTCTTGGCAAAAAGGCTGGATAACCAGGTTACCGGTACCAAAGCATTTCCAGCTGCTGTTGCTGCTACATACACTGACTGCAGAAGAATTATCAAATAAACACACACACACATGTACATACGTATATGTATGACATATAACAACAAAATCCTCCAAGAGTTTGATATGGTTATACTTGAATGGCTGTATGGGATAATGGGTTTGGAAACCAAATTTGTTACGTTTCATTTCGTTTTCTTTTTTGGAAAGTGAATGTTACCGCATCCAAGCCAACCAACATCCTCTTGTAAACCGTTAACCAAACAAGAAACCTCAG